TACAATGGAACGTTGAAACAATCCTACGTAAACAATGATACTGTAGACTGACGCACGCGCATTACAATTGAACGTTGAAACAATCCTACGTAATTCACTGTAGAAATACGCACACGTATTACAATGGATCGTTGAAACAATCCTTTCGTTTTCGGCAAGGTCTTTGCTCAAGATATTATTTTGTCAATTAAAACGCGTATTCAGTTAAAGATGATTTTGGTCAGTGAAGTTATTATTTATAGTCTTTCATTGATCACATTCAAACTGACAGCCGCCATTCATTTTTTTATGATATCATTGCTAATTATCCATTTTAATGATTATTAGATATTTTTAACCAAAAAAGAAAGAAAATAAAAAAGTAGTAAATTAATACTTCAGTCTATGGGTCAAAATGTTAGATTGGGCTGGGCGAATTCAGGTTAATCTTCTAAAAATTCGAAAAGGCCCCCTTTCTAATCTTCAGCACCAGTCAGAAGGACCAGAGGATTCCTCTTTTTCGTCCTCCTCCAAGTTTTTTTCTTCATTTTGAACTCTATTACAATGGACGCAAACACAGCAGCGCGTAGCGTGGACGTTTTGGCTGGTACGCACGTGTCTGGGACCGCGACACGTATTTTGGATCTGGGGGTCTAAGGACCGCCACTTTTGAAATATAACTCTTTGAAATCATTTGATGCGATTTCAGCTTTTTGARAGACATCGAGGGCATATAAAAGGAATGATTTTTATGTGAATTTTCCAGTTTTCGAGAAAATTTTAATGTTTCCTTGCCATTAGTACGGACATGCGTATATGCGTAAAGTGCGCTATGCGACTGTACATCTAAGAACATGTTTCAGGCAAGGGCAACGCAGCCCGTTTTACACYTAGAGCGAGTCATCCAGGCAATTCCAAATTGACCATCTACGATTTTCCAGCTGAGTAACGGTCTGAGGATGGAGAAGAAACTGGAATGATACTAATTATTCAACGCAGTTACTTTGAAGTTGACATGTTCAGTGTGCACTTTAATAGGGAATCAAAAGTTAGGAGCAAAAATGCGCTTGCCTTACGTAAAAAAGATGTGCCTGTGACAGCAAGAATATTGGTAGATTCCCCTATACYCAGTCCTCCACGTAGACCATTTCATATTGTTACACCACACACCTGATATTTGGCACAATTATAATACAATGAATRTTCTACAAACCTATTGAGCAGTTTTTTGATTTGTTGTATTTTTATGTTTCCATGGTAACAGCGGT